GTTTTGAGCCCTGGGACCAATGAGAGTGACTTTATCTACCTAAATATTATTGAAGATTCAGATTACTTAGAGATCTTAAAAAACAGCATTCCTGATTTTGTGGGGGCTGGTGGATTCCTGAAATTTAGTGACAGTTGCCTTAAAAACAAATGGAAAACTATAGAACAAGTAAGAGTGTTGTGAAGACAGCAACAGTATTTGAAATTACTTATGCACAGTTGTTGCCAACAACCACCAGAATCTAAGATATAGGCATACGTTGGATTTTTCCTCGGAGCCTTCATAATGAATCACCTTTTAATGCCTTGATTTTGAACTTCTAGCCACCAGAAAAATAATACATTTTTGACATTTTAAGTTAACCGAGTTTTGATGACTTGGTATGACAACCCCTGAATACTGGTATGGAGAAGATGTTGAGAAGTACTATGGATTGAAGAAACAGGGAGAAAATGTAGAGTTGTGAGGGTTTGATAAAAAAATGCTAGTTTAAACATGGTAGTGAGTATATGATATTTGTCAAATATCTTAGTGAGATAAAAGATTAAGATTTGTAGAAAATTCCTACTCAAAGTCATTTTCAAAAAAAATAATATACAGTCAGATAATGGCTAGTCATTAAGGACATTGAGGAAGATGAGGTTAATCAGCATTCTGACCAAGAATAACTGCAGGAGGAAGATGTGAGCATCATGGATGTAATGTTGCTGTACATGACCAGATTGAGGTGGTTGAAGAATCATTCTTATAAAGTGCTATATTATAACTTAGTTTCTGTACTGAGCATACTTTTGTGTGGAATGAATAAAATTATTAAGAAAATAGAAGGTTATGTAAATGTTTCAAGTGAGACTAATGACACCTGGATGCAGAGAGATAAAACCTTAAAGGTATGTAAGGCCACAGGAAAAGGTCAATTTCACGGTATGTTTTCAAAGTAGACATAGCAGAGGCCGCTAAAATATTTACTATGTAATGTGAAGGAAAACCAAAAAGCTAAGAATAGTATCCCATTGGGGGCACATAACTGTAAGAAAAGACTTAAAGAAGAAGTAAAATCTAGAGATGCGTGGCAAGAGAGTTGATAATTCTATTAGTTGAGTAAGGAATCTACTAAACAGTGCTTCAATTCCTTAGTGAACTGTTCTTCAGTACTACTTCAGCAATCTTCTGATACTCTAAGGGAAAACCATATGCTTTAAGCAAGATGATCAGTTTCCTTCCTTCCATTCCTATGCACTACTCTTCCTAGACATGCCTAATAACACTCCTGCCAACCTAGTTACACAGATTATAAATCATCACAACTCATGATGGTAAATTTTCACCTATGAAATTTACTAAATAACAGAGTACCTGGGTTTTTGTCTAGGTACTGTTTCTGGGTGTATTTTGAAAGAATTTCCAGATTTTTTTCATTAGGTTGTTATAGTAAAAAACAAAACAAAACAAAACCTTCACCAGTGTAACCAATGTGGTCTGTTGAAAGACTGGCTAGGACAAAAATATGAAGAAAGGAAGAATTTGCTCATTTTGGGTCTTTGGCTGATTACTTATACTAGAATAAAAATATTTTCCTGCCTGTCATCTGGGAGGTACAGCTGCCAGTAAGCCTGAGCCTTACTCCAGAATACTGTCTATATTGTCTACTTTTGATCAACTGAGTGTAAGCCTGGAGTTTCAAGTCTTCAGTGGAAACAATGAGTTGAAGGCAAGCATGAGTCCAAAGCAAGATCAAAGTCAGCCAGGACACATGGTGAGACCCAGGATTAAAACAAACAACACATAAAATTCACCCTTTGTGCTCTCCACTTCCTGGGCCTCTACAATTGGATGACCACTTGCATCACTGATTTTCTGGGTTTGTAGGCTTATTCAGATTGGAGTGACCACACCAGCGTTTCCAAGACCAGAGCTTGCATGTGGTAGATTATAGAATGTAGTCCCTCTAAGGGCATATGTCCTTTGTCATGTTACATGTTGAGAAATTTCAAAATATGCTGTACTTCAAAACATAATGAGAAAGGCAGGGGATTTTATACAATCCTGATGGCAAAACTTGAGCTATTCTTTGAGGAGCCACTGAAAAAGGTCCCTAAGGAACAGACAATTTCTATTGCTGTATTTAAAAAAAACTGGGAAAAAAGGTAACAAAAAACTGTCAGAATCAACTTCATGAGAATTCTGCAACTAAACATTATGAAAGCTTTCTGAATTTCTGAAATAACACTGAGACATTTAATGTTTTAACTAGTTCACCAACCTCAGTGGTAGACCTTGAAGCAATGGAGGAGAGAACCCAACCGACCATATTCTGAACTGATCATCTCATATGATGTAACAGGTGATAGAAAAGCCTAGCATATCTGGTCTGATTAAAGTCTCTCTGAGCTAAAACACAGTTTGAGAATCTGGTTAAAAATTTTGCAGACAGTTCAGAATAGAATGGGAAAACAACAGTCAAAACTTTGGAATAAAATGCTAAGAGATAGTTTGTTTTAGGGAAATCCTAATTTGGATTTGAAAGATCAGATATAGTCTTGTGAATCTTTTTTTTTTTTTTTTTTTTTTTTTTTTTTTTTTTTTTTTTTGGTTTTTTGAGACAGGGTTTCTCTGTGTAGCTTTGGAGCCTATCCTGGCACTCACGCTGGAGATTAGGCTGGCCTCGAACTCACAGAGATCTGCCTCCCTCTGCCTCCTGAGTGGTGGGATTAAAGGCATGCTCCACCAGTGCCTGGCAAAGTCTTGGGAATCTTGAAGATGGTCTCAAGCCTCAAGATAAACCTTTTATGAAGAGGTAGAACCTTCTTAGGTTTTCTACATAATTTATTTCTCTTTTCAAATTTTCAAACATTTGCACTTATATACATATAATAAAATCTCTTTCCAATTGTTAGCTGCTCAATGCACTATTAGTGAAACATTACAAAAAGAAGTAACTTTTCTAAGACTGTAAGATGTTGATTTAGCTAGGAATAAATCCTAGGCTTTTGAAGTTCACAGTACAATGTGATTTCCATAATACCAAAGTTCTTCTCAAAAGTATTGCAGTGAATTCCTCATATTATGGGTGCTAAAGTGTAATGTTTTTATTCCTTCATTCTTTTCAACTTGTGCTTCTCTGAAAATATCACAATACATGAGAATTTCAGGACTAGCAACTTAGAGGCCATCATGAACATTGTCTTCCTTTCTTGTTTGATTCTCTGAGACCCCACAGGCTAATTGGATCTCCCGGTCTACATGTGTATCCATTTGTTTATATTACCCTAACAATCTAAGTCTCAGTAGTATTTAATTATCACTTATATTAGCTTAGTAATTAACTGATTATGTTTTCATATATCAGTTATAGACATGTGAAACATATATCTAAATTGTGCTAATTCTGTAAACCTACTTTAAAATTACTCTAAATGTTATGTCCCAAAACTCATGAGAGCTCAGTCATTTGGCATAGAGTGCCAAGATACTATGAAAAGAAAAAGAAAATAGAACCATATGCACACCCATTTGTATATAATACTTACACATGCATGCATATGTCTTTGCTTCATTTCGATGCCATTGCTTTATATGCTATTGCTATGATCAAATGACTTGACAAACATAACAGGAGAGAAAGTGTTTTCTTTAGCTATCAATTTTAGGTTTTAGTCCATTTCTAGTGCATGCATCTGTAAGCATTCCATTCATTCTCTCTATCTCTTTCTTCCCTGTTTTTCTATGCTCCATTTAAGTTTCTTCATCTGTCTCTATCTCTGTTTCTCTCTCTTCTTCTGTCTCCATGTCTCTGTGTCTATCTCTGTCTCTGTCTCTGTCTCTGTCTCTGTCTCTGTCTCTGTCTCTCTCTCTCTCTCTCTCTCTCTTCTTCTTCTTCTTCTTCTCCTCATATAGACGCATGATCACAAACCCATAAAGAGTGGATTGGTCCGCATTATTTACCATCATCAAGACAGACCCCTAGAGACATTTCCTCAGGTCAACATGTCTAGAAAATTTCTCTTTGGTGTCAGGTTGATGGACAAAATTACTATCACAATGTATATATGGTATGGAGGTCACTAATTTTAGAATCATATAGGAATAATATAGGAAACAGACATTATAATTTTCAATTTTTCTTTATTTGTTTATAAAAATAGCAACAGAAATACAAACTATGTACCATCAAGTAAACTTCATTAAAAATTGTAATTCCTGGCCAGGCATTAATGGTACACTCCTTTAATCCCACCACTTGGGAGGCAGAGACAGGCGGATCTCTGTGAGTTTGAGGCCAGCCTAGTCTACAGAGCGAGTGCCAGAATAGACTCCAAAACTACACAGAGAAACCCTGTTTGTGATTCAGTGTGATTACATAAACAGGATTTTTACTATTATGATTTGGTATTTCATATTTATAGTTTCTTTTTTTTTTTTTTTTGATTTTTGGAGACAGGTCTCAATGATAGCAAAGCTGGCTTTCCCACTCATACCATTCTGACTTCATCCAGCAATTTACTACAAGCCCCAGTATTTTTATTTGTTTTAAAAACAAATATAGAGAGGCTCTTTATACATTTCTTCATGTATTACTATCAGTGAGAAGCCTTGCAGTAACTTTTAGAACACATACTTTCCAAAGATACTTATTTATTTAAAGGATTTGCTCAAAACCAGAAACTTGAAAGATGAATTACTATAATTTATATTTTCATGGTGCTTTGTCCTATAAATGAATTCCTCTTTCATTTTCTTCATATTATGTGTTGCAACATGTACTGCTGAGTAGGAAGGAAATCCTTTATAGCTACATTAACATCGTATGGCAAGTAAGGGTCATTTTGTTCACCCTGGAGTCATAATTTATTACTCTGGATTTTTTATTAGTTTGAAGGAGTCAATGCTAACATTCCCTGTGCAATAATATGGTCAGACTTATTGCTGGGAAACTGCTATGGAGTCCTCAGTGAATATTATTCTATAAACATAATTTGATGATGTTTTAATAGCAGATGGTGGAGAATAACTGTGTGTGCTTTCCAATGTGCTGAGGAGAGAAGATCCTTTAATTCTTAGTGCTACTGAGATCTTAACACAACATGATAACTCTGGCTAAGTCTGTAACAGAAAGTTACTACCAGGTATGTACTTTTATGCCTTGCCTTTTTGCAGTCATGTAACTTCCTAAGAATGATGCATGTGTCTTGTTTCTAGTTGATGCATGGGTGAGACTACCTAATTACAAGCTTATGAAGAATTAGAATGACAACAACTGCAGTAGAAAGAGCAGTATAGTAGATAATATCCTACAGCTTTCTTACCAGTATTTAAAACAGAATCTATCTAAAAATTTATTGCAACAAATTCATGGTCCCTTCATTTCTTCAATGAGCAAAGAAATATGTCCAGTATGACAACCTTAAAATATCATATTGTATTTTGAAAGTTATCTAAACATTTTATGTTTAAGTTTATACTACATTCATTTTCCTGGTTCTCTACTATTATAGAGTAATTTTATGAACCCAGGACATTAGTAAACTTACATTTAGCATTAGCCTGTTAAGTTGCCTGACACAAACTTGAAAATGAATGGAAAAGCACATTAAGTTTTAATAGGCTCATATTAATTATTGAAGCATTTTATAAGGCAAATTTGGAATATTTGAAGCAGGTAAAATTTCCATGTCTCTAGGAAATTAAGTAGGATTTTTAGGATAAGATGCTGTCCTTTCTCCTTAACTATTTTTAAATTGATGTAGAAAAGTATAATCATACATTTTCACATTATGTCATATATAAATATATCAATATATATATAATATACATCAATAAGTTCCTAAGGCTTTTCAGATGTAACACAAGCACTCAGCAACCATGATGAATGCCTACATACCTAAATTTATCTTTGTTGCCTCACAGAGTACAAAGAAATAGCTTACCAAATTGCTTGGTTCTGTAACAGTTATATTACACCTTCCTTGATTACCAATGGATTACATGTTTTCTTATAATATAATACTCATTGAAGGAAGATGCTGACTCCTAATCCAACCATGGAAGACTGAGCTTGATCTGAGGAAGGGTATGCTCTCCAGTTCCCAGTATCCCAGGGTCCCAGAGACAATCAGACACAGCAGGGGATCTAGTCAAGCAGGAATTCCTTTATTGTCCCACAGCAAGCATCTTTTAAAGGAAAAATACTAAAGAGAGAAAAAACAGCGAGCCAATGGTTTTAAAGGTCAGCTTATCATGTGCCTAGGTGCCTTATGCTTTAACTAGTGAACACATCATGTTAGATCTAGGCAACTAATCACCTTTTTTTTTTTTTTTTTTTTTAAACAGCTAAGGACTCAACCATCTGATTTCCCCTCACTGCCATCTTTGACTGGCTACTGTGCCCTACGGAAGCTAAATGTTTATACTTTTCTACATTAAGTTTTATTTACATATAATGAAAACCTGGAAGGTACAACAAATATAATGAAGGAAATCTCATCATGAGTTCTTGACATTCGAAAGCACGGGGTTTTATTCATGTCACATTTAGGCTTCTAGAATAATATTTATTTTAAAATTAATATTATTTGATTATTTTACACCCGGACCCTAGTTTCCCAAATCTCTTCTCCTCCCATTCTTTTCCCCATATATTCCCTCAAATCCCCCAATCCTTTCCTCCTCTGTTTCTCTTCCAAAAGGAACAGGCCTCCATGTGTATCAACAAGGCATGACATATAAATTTGAGGTAGGTCTAAGCATCTCACTTTGGATTAAGACTGGGGAAGGCAACCCACTATGAATGATAGGTTCCCAAAACTCAGCCAAAGTATTTGGGGAAGCCCCAAATGATAGGAGTCCCTCTGTAAGTAATCCCACAGGTAGACCAAACTACAAAACTGTTAGATATACATAGAGGGTCTAAGTTGGTCCCATGGAGGCTCCTTAGTTGTTGGTTCAGACTCTTTGAGTTCCTATGAGCCAGGTTAGATGATTCTGTGGGTTTCCTTGTATTGTCCTTGACCCCTCTAGCTCCAACAATCCTTTCTCTCTCACTCTCCTCAGCAGAATTCTCCAAGCTCAGGCTAATGTTTGGCTGCGGGTCTCTGCATCTGTTTCTGTCAATTACGTATGAAGACTTGGATGACAGCTGGAGTCATAGAATTATAGTCTTGAATGTGATCACAGGGGATGGACTGTTACGGCTATGTATCCACTATTACTAGGAGTCTTAGTGGGGGCCATCCTTACAGATTCCCAAATATACACAAAATTGAATCTGTCTAAAAGAGAATTATAGCTCATACCTTTAATCCCAGCAGTAGAAGTGTACAAAAGACAGAAGCAAGTATTCAGCAGGAGGCATTCATTCTCCAGCCACACTTAGGAGAGGCAGCAGTTTCAGATTTAGTGAAGAGCTCTTGAGTGGATAAGACCTTTCAGTTTGAGCTAGAAGTGAGAGATAGTAGCCCACTGCTTTGCTTCCCTGATCTTCAGCTTGAACCTTAATATTAGTCTTTGGGTCATTTATTAATTAGTTTTACAAAGACTAGCTAATATTAGTTATAGTTTTCCTTAGTTATGAAAGAAGGTAAATGAGGTACAAAACTTCAGACTCACTAAGATAGGGTAAATAATGGAGTATTCTCTCTAAATTTTCCAAATACAAATGGATTGGATACTATAAACGTATTCTTACTTGATAATTGTTCTTACTGTATATAGTCTTACCATGTTAAAATTAAATCTTTAACTATGTAGAGATGTATTAAATCTGGATACTATAAACGTATTCTTACTTGATAATTGTTCTTACTGTATATAGTCTTACCATGTTAAAATTAAATCTTTATGTAGAGATGTATTAAATTTGTTTATGTTGTAAAATAGTATTTTTAAATATGTAAAGGTGTTTTAAATTTCCTAAGTTGCATTAGTTTAAAAATGTAAAATTTTGTGCTTGCCGAAGGCCCCTGGTTGATCTAATAAAAAGCTGAAGAGCCCAACAGCTAGACAGTAGAGGGATAGGTGGGTAGGCAGGCAGAAAGAATATTTAGGAGGAATATTTAGGCTTGAGGAAACAAAAGAGAAAGAGAAGGAGACATCAGGGGGCAACCAGCTAGGCAGCAGCCACTCAGCCAAACATCAAAGAAGCAAGAAAAGTAGGACATACAGAATGAAAGAAAGGCAAAGACCCCACAGCTAAATGTAGATGAAGTGAAACGGGTTACATTATAAGAGTTAGTTGGAGAAGCATAAGCTAAAGGCCAAGATTTTATAATCAATAATAGGTCTCCATGTCATGATTTGGGGGCTGACAGTCCAAGTAAGCCAAGAAAGATTGCTACAACTATTCTAGAACCAGGCTGCCTGCCTGCTGCCATATTCCCCTTCATGATGGTCAAAGACTCTAACCCTCTGAAGTGATGATCCCCAAATTAAATGCTTTCTTTGAAAAGGTACTCTTATTATGCTCCTTTGTCATGTAATAGGAAAGCAGCTGAGAGAGAAATTAGTTCCTGGGAGTGAGCTATTACAGTGGTATGTTTGATCCTTCCTTATTTGGGGGCAATATGGAAGGTACTGGGAATATAGAGTAGGAAAGTAGCTGAATGGTGTAAATAGGGATTAATAGGCCATCTTAAAAGGAATTGGAAGTCTGTAGTGTTGATAGCAATTTGGGCTATGGAAGCCTGGCTCAAGAGATTTCAAAGGGGGGAACAATATTAACAACTGGGCTAAATATCTCTTGTGATATTTTAGCAAATAATGTGCCTGTGCTTTTAGCCTTGTCCTAAGAATCTGACTGTGGTATATTGAAAAGTTTTGGATTAATACCTTTGATGGATGAGATTTCAAGATAGTTAATACTAACTCTTTTGCTTGTTTATTTCTAACCTCTTTTATGTATATCTACAGTTAAAAGGAGGAAGCAGAGAAAAAAAGAAATGTAAAAATGTACCATTTTAGAAGAAAAAGAATGCCAAGTAATTTAAGGTTGGAGCCAAAGCTTGTGCTTAAAAACATAAAAAAAAGAAGCCAGATTTACAATGGAAAAAGAATATGATACCTTCTGGGCAAGACCCAAACAGCTACTCTTTCAATCTGTGAAAGGAAAAGGAATGAGGGATTTCTAGTCCTAAAAATCAATATCAAATCAAAGTTAATGCAAATGCAATTTAAGGAGTATTCCAGGCTCCATCCTAAGCAGGTAGTCAAATCTAGCAGTGTTGGCAATGTTGTTCTGGTTTTAGAGTCATTAAGGACACACAGTAAAGGGATGGTGGCAAGTTCATCCACAGCTAAAAGTACTTCATGTATCTAGGCATAGGTTTTGGTATCACTGACCAGAGGCTTGGCTATGTCATTGCATAAAGATTTGAAAAGGAAACCTGGATTGCATCTCCAAGAATTTTAAGATGCCTGGCCATGGTATACATGCTACAGAGAGCTTCATACCAGGAATAAATGCATTTTGTTAGGATATGGCCATAGGTTGATGGGGTTTAGGGAGTGGAATGTGGATGATTAAATGAGTATAACCTTTATTAAGCCTCATTTATGTGAATATTTTTTTTTCAAGTGGGTGGAATTGAAAGGCAGAAAGATGAGTTGTAGCTTTGTAGGAGTGGATCTATCACTGGGAGTGAGATTTGAGAATTCAAATGCCTATACCATTGCCAATTAAAAGGAACATGAAGTTGGTTAGAATTGGAAGGGGAGAAGATCTGGGAGAAGAGGATTATGATCAAACTATATTGGATACATTTTTTAAATAAAATTTACAAAAGTAAGATCGCATTCTATATTTAAGCAATAGCTTTTAAACATTCTTGTTTACTATTAAAATTAAGTTTGATTTTGCTAATATTATTATACTGAACAGGCAATAATCTTTTTATATGCAATACAATTTAAAAAGTTCCATATAATGAATTTACAGACTGAACATTCTGAATTTTCTGTGTGTGCTTTTGTTTGTTTGTTTGCTTGGTTAGTGTATTTGTTTTTTTTTTGTTGTTGGTGTGCTTTTGTTTGTTTGTTTGCTTGGTTAGTGTATTTGTTTTTTTTTTTTTTTTGTTTGTGTATGTGCATCTATGACCTTAAATTTAACTGTTTCATTTAGTGAAAAAAATACACAGTTTCTGAAATCTGATCATTTAACTATTTGAGTGAGCATTGACTTCTTTTGTAAATATTATTGACTATCTTAATTACAGTAATTGCTAGATTGCATATCACTGATTTTTTACATCAGAAGCTACAATGTGATATACATTCAGCCACACAAAATAGAATGAGAAATAAATGGAAAGGAGGTATGAACGAATGGAAACTGGTAATAAGAAAACATGGAGCACAATTTCTTTGTAGGGTGAACTATACAGTGAAAAGGAAACAGAACTCTAAATACAACATTTAAGGTGCCTCAGAGTTGTCACATACATATACAAGATGGAAGTGGAGAACTACTGGAAATCAGCAACTCCTAAAGTCAGGGCCCAATGAAGACTGGAGGCAAAGTTCTTGTGTAAAATATAGGAGCAAAAGCAAAGCAGGAGTTTCAGCTAATATCTTACCTGGGGTATAAGCCACAGGAGACAGAGTTGTTATAAATATTTGCATCATATTTTTAAAAATTATTGTACACTGACCATAGAATAAAGGGGAGAATGTAAATACAGGGACACAAGTTTTAAAATTACTCTACTATTTATTCATTTATTTATGTAAAGAGAGTCACTGTGTAGCTCTGGCTGGCCTTGGAACTCACTATGTAGAAGAGGCTGGCCAGAGTTACAGAGTTCTGCTTGCCTCTGCCTCCCAAATCATCTGGGAGGACCTGGAGAAGACCTAGCCTACTGTCCTCTTTCAGATTTTATGTCCAAGAACCTCATTAGGTTCTTAAGATGATTAACCAAGGAAAATACAATTATAGCTTTGTTAGGAACAGAAAAAAAATCACTACCTAAAATATACCCAGAAGTATAATAAATAGTGATTCCCAACAGAAATGGCTTTACCTAAAACTTTATCCCACTTTGTGGGATACAGTCCTCCTGTTACAGGTTTTTTGATCACACTGCAAACCTCAACTTTGCATTTTTTTTATTAAGTAAAATCAACCTTGGGTCAGGAGGTGGAACTAGAAACTAATTAACAGAAAGTAATCCTAGAGAGTCAGGAGTGCTGTGTGGCGGTGACACAAATCTTTAATCCCAGCATCCTGGGGGTAGAGGCAGGTGGATCTCTGTGAGTCTGAGGCCACCCTGGTCTACAGAGAAAGTGCCACGACATTATCTGGAGCTACATGGAGAATCCCTGTCTCAAAAGAAAAGAAACAACAATAACAAAAACCCAAAACCAAAAAACAAAAACTAACAAAATCAGTAGGTATCTGTAAGAAGCATTAAAGGGACACACTGGAAGTAGTAGTAGGGAGGGTGTACCTTTTGATTAGGCAGAGAGGGCTTTGCAACATTTTCACAGAGTCATGG